AGGCCGACATCAGTGGAAAGGATAAGGTAAACTGTGTTTATTTTTCTTGTTAACTTAATGTTTGAAACACTTCGACATGCTTTAAGTGATTGGTAAAGTGTGATTGCGCATTTTTGCCACCTTTTCCTTTTTGATCTTATTGTTTTGTTATATGGATTGGCCACTTTTTTTCTGGCTATGCAGGAAATTTACTCCATAAAGTTGCCTGGGGACCCGAAACTTGGTGAAGGCAAACCTGAGAATCAAAACCATGCCATTGTGTTTACACGCGGAAATGCAATCCAAACTATTGATATGAATCAGGTTAGTGTGCAATTATCTTATCTTCTCTGCATCTTTTTGTTTTAAGTGCTTTCTTTTGAGATCTTGTGAGGGTTTGTTATTGCTAAGTTTCTCCGGAAATTCAGTTTAGTAAATTAGGTATATACGGGCTTTGTAAAGAGTATTAAGAATAACAGTTTCAAAGTGTACACGTTTAAAAATTAAAAAAAAAAAATAGGAGCTGAGAACAACATTGCTTCATAGCTCATGTACATATCTATAATCTAGCTGAATCATCTGACTGTAAAAGATCCAGCTTAAACTTATCATATGTTGCTGTAGTTTAACTTGGTGAAACGCGCATTATCCAAACCTTGTCCATGTAGATTGGATGTTTATGAAAACCGAAGTAGTCACTATGTGAGTTTTCACTTGAGCAAAATTTAAGCTTGTGCCATAATTAAATTTTACAAAACATCACTTTCCTTAGACCCAAGTGAAAATTTTGCCAAATGTAATCAGACGCATAATTTTGTCGAAGTTTATCCATTCTGGAGTTCACTAACAATGAGTGGTTCTTAACCTTGTAGTATTTAAGTTTGAAGTTCAAAATTAAACACAGAAATTTAGAGTAGAAATACTGCATTTTCTTTCAATAACAGAGAATCATTCTTAAATGAAAAGCACATATTGATATCATTTTGAGATTGGAGTTGGACATCTCATCACATGTAAATGTACCGGAATCTTCTATCATTTGTGCATGCCTGCTTTACATTCTTTACGTTTCTATAGAGCTAAATGCATCTCCAACCTTTAGCATCATGTTATTTATATATTTTTGTTACTTGTTAGGATAATTATTTTGAAGAAGCCTTGAAGATGAGAAATCTTTTGGAGGAATTTGATCGGGACCATGGAATTCGACCTCCCACCATTCTTGGAGTTAGGGAACATGTATTTACTGGAAGGTGGGAACCAGACATTTATAAATCTGTTTTCTTATTTTTACATATATCGCTTACGTAATTGTTTGCGACACAATATGCAGTGTCTCGTCCTTGGCCTCTTTCATGTCCAATCAAGAAACCAGCTTTGTAACTCTTGGTCAACGAGTATTGGCGAAACCATTAAAGTAAGCTACTACAATAAGTTTTATTTTCCCTGAACAACTTGAATAATTTGGAATCCTGATTCTATCATTTCCGAATTCTAGGATCCGCATGCATTATGGTCATCCAGATGTCTTTGACAGAGTTTTCCATATTACACGTGGTGGTATCAGCAAGGCCTCTCGGATTATCAATATTAGTGAAGATATTTTTGCTGGTAAAATCCGATTTGTTAATTGATAGTTACCTTCAAATGTGTTCCGTGTTGCCAGACAATTAAAGCATACTACTATGCTAAGCCATCGTATATTCAATTTCTTCCACACTTGATTAATGTTGATCCTATAATGCTATGATTTTCAGGTTTTAACACAACTCTACGTCAAGGGAATGTTACTCATCATGAGTATATTCAGGTCCGTACTTTTCAAAACTTAACAATTAAAAGGATAAAAAATGTATATGCACTAATTTTATTTACAGGTTGGCAAAGGGCGAGATGTGGGGCTCAATCAAATAGCTCTATTTGAAGGGAAGGTTGCTGGTGGGAATGGTGAACAGGTTCTTAGTCGGGATGTATACAGACTTGGCCAGCTCCTTGATTTCTTTCGAATGATGTCATTCTACTTTACAACTGTTGGGTTCTACTTCTGTACGATGGTATGTGGACCCTCAAATGAGTCATAGTGATTTTATTCGCGTCTCACCATGGTTTCTCATTTTTCCTCCATATCAATACTTAGCTGTCAAGTTTATAAAAGAAGTTTACGACAAGTCTTGAAATTCTATTGGTCACTTTCTTCAAGTTTTTCTAAGTATGGTTTCTAGGACTAGTGCTGATATTTTGACATTTTCATGGCCTCTTGCAGCTGACGGTGCTTACAGTGTATATTTTCTTATATGGGAGGGCATATCTGGTAAGCATAGTTACCTATGTTGGTTATGACGCATGTGCTATCTTCATGACTGACTATTGACCGATTTATTCTTGCATATTACCTATGATACTTGGTGTTTCATATTTTATAGGCACTTTCTGGAGTTGGAGCTACTATTCGAGAAAGAGCTATTCTTCTGGACGATACTGCACTTAGTGCCGCCCTGAATGCTCAGTTTCTGTTGCAAATTGGTGTCTTCACTGCTGTGCCAATGGTTTTGGGCTTTATTTTGGAACAGGGTTTTCTCCAGGTACTGGTTTTCCACCATTTTTGTCATATCATAATGTTATGCAATATCTTCTTAAGGATCTTCTTTAACCGTCTTTTATTGTGTAGGCCATTGTCAGTTTCGTAACAATGCAATTTCAGCTATGTACTGTCTTCTTCACATTTTCCCTTGGCACAAGAACCCATTATTTTGGACGGACAATTCTCCATGGTGGTGCAAGGGTATATTCTTATCCTTGGGAACTTAAACCGTTCTATATTGTCTGGAATCTGATAAACAATGTCTTTCAACAGTACCAAGCCACTGGAAGAGGCTTTGTCGTCAAGCATATCAAATTCTCTGAAAACTACCGGCTTTATTCCAGAAGTCATTTTGTCAAAGCGTAATCTCCTTATACTCTTTGTTTCCTATGTACATGCATTTCTTTCGTATACTTGTTTAGCCATAGTTAAGGATGGAATATTCACTGATATGCTTTACATGTATTTATTCCATCTCTAGGATGGAGGTTATTCTCTTATTGGTTGTCTACCTTGCGTATGGCAATGATGAGGCTGGTGCAGTTTCCTACATTCTTCTGACCGTTAGCAGCTGGTTTCTGGCTGCTTCTTGGCTTTTTGCTCCCTACCTGTTCAACCCTGCCGGATTTGAGTGGCAAAAGTGAGTAGTGCTATCTTATTTTGTATCGTGTTAAGTAACATGTTTTCTCACTGAGCAAGATTTGTTTTCTCCTTTCAGAGTCGTGGAAGACTTCAAAGAATGGACAAACTGGCTCTTTTACAGAGGTGGAATTGGTGTGAAAGGAGCTGAAAGCTGGGAAGCATGGTGGGAAGAAGAACTGGTAAGAACTCCATTTATCCAAACTCTGCTGTTTGATTGCCTATGGTGCTTTGCTTCTTTGTTATACTGCCTTCTCGTCAGCCACAATCCAAAGTTTTCAAATAGGTCTTATGAATTTTTCACCTTATCTAACTATATGTGTGCTTCCAACAGTCTCACATCCGGACCTTGAGCGGGAGGATAATGGAGACTGTTTTAAGTCTACGGTTCTTCATCTTCCAGTATGGAATTGTCTACAAACTGGACCTACAAGGATCAGACACATCACTTGCGGTAACAGCATTTCCCTTCGTTTACTGCTCCTATATGATCTTTTGCTTTGAACACTGCCTAATAATAGCATTTACACATGTGCAGATTTATGGTTGGTCCTGGGCTGCATTGGCGATAATTATAGTTCTCTTCAAGGTTGGTTAATCTTTTATCACAGCTTCATTTTCTTAAAACTTTGTCTTCTGACTAAATTGCATTACATGATCTGAGATATCTCCAATGTTTTCTTTGAAATAGGTCTTTACCTTCAGCCAGAAGATATCTGTCAACTTCCAGCTTGTGCTGAGGTTTATACAAGGCCTGGTCTTGTTGGTGGCTCTAGCTGGGATAGTCGTAGCAGTTGTACTCACAAATCTGTCAGTGGTGGACATATTCGCTTGCGTACTGGCGTTTATACCGACAGGATGGGGAATCCTCTCTGTAAGTTTTGAGCTCTTTCTCACCTCAGATACCTTCTTCTCTCTCTAATCTCTGCAGAGTCCAATCTAACGAAGTAATCCTCTCTTGTTGTAGATTGCTTGTGCTTGGAAGCCGATCGTGAAGCGAATCGGAATGTGGAAATCGATCCGTTCCCTAGCGAGACTGTATGATGCAGGAATGGGAATGCTCATATTCCTTCCCGTTGCGCTCTGCTCCTGGTTCCCTTTCGTCTCCACTTTCCAGACACGTATGATGTTTAACCAGGCGTTTAGTCGTGGTCTGGAGATCTCTCTCATCCTCGCAGGAAACAATCCCAACTCTGGACTTTGAAATTTCCATTAGCTTATCTATGCGTTGTTTTAACTTGTGTGTCTGTTTCACTAGTGTTATGAATTCTGAGTGTAGTTGTAGAAAATGATGAGAGCCTATATGTAATTTTTAGGCAATTTTTAGACTTCTGTAATATTATTTATTTGTAGATTCAGATACATTGCAAGTAAGTCAGATTAAATGTTCTTTTTCTTTCTTCTCACAACGTAGCTGTGTTCCAACATTTGGGCAATAGAGTGTCTGACCGATATTGCTAAAACTAGTGAATCATTTGGATGTGTTGGTATCTTTTTTCTTAGGGATACAATTGATCTTATTGCATTGAGGGTGTTCGATTGAAATTTTTAGATTTGTCACAAAAGATCTGTTGTATAAAGTAGTTTGGGTGCCATCAAACAAAAATGAAATAAATAAACTTGGCCCAAATTGAAGCCCATTGAACCTAAAGCAGAAGAAGGCCCATTTAAATGGAAATAATCTCTGGCGAAGGCAGAAGGTTCTCGTCGGCAGGTCAGAAACTCTACAAAGCTCAAAGGTACCGTTGGAAGAAGGTCGGAGAAAATTCAGCTGAACTCCAGAATCTCTTATCAGAGAGTGATGGTGGGAGAAGAAGGTCGGAGAAAGATGATCAGACTTTTTTGTCCCTCAGCATCGAAGATTATCGACTGGGTTGCTTGGAACGATCAGAAACTGGACTTTAAAGCCATAGCCGCAGCGTTTGAGCTCGAACCGTCGACGGTGAAGCTCAATGGTCACTTCATAAGCAGAGGTATTGATCTACTCGCCACTTGCGTGACGTGGCAGTCTCTGCTCGCTTTCTTCTCAGCTAGAGGCTTCTCAACTGGGGAAGACGAGTCCGGTGCTCTCTTCGTCGACGGCAAGCTCTGTAAAGTCGGTACCAAAAGTGAGTTTCTCTAATTTGTTTCCTTCCTGTTTAGCTTCCCGATTTTATTATAGGCAAATTCAAGAAATTTTGAATTTACCCTTTTCTAGGAGCACACTCTGATCCTCAAGAGGATATAACCTGCAACGATCTTGGTCTAATCAGAAACAAAAAGTTGAAAGACAAGTGTTCAGGTATGGGAATTTTTTATCTCATACCAAGTAGTTTTGAATATTTGTCTGCTTCTGAGTTTAATCTGAGTTTTCATTCTCATCAGTTGAGGAACCTCTTGTCTCTGGAGGCAACAAGAGAAAGCTATTGTCTGAAGATAGGCACTCTCTCAAGAAACTTAAACTCAGCATGGGTGATAGCTGTGGTAAATATGTTGCAGGAAGACAAGGTGGAAACAGCAAAACGCCATTGAAATGCAGTTTCATTAGTGATGGTTTGAAGAGGACAAGAGAAGATGAGATGATTGTTACTTCAGCTTGTAAGAGGACGAGATGAGAGAGTGCCAATGTAGATATAGAGAAGTCTATAACAGTTTTTGTCTCTAAAAGTATTTGACTAAAAATCGAAATGCAAAATTTCAACTCTTAATTGCAAATCTTAGGGTCCAAAATTACCTTGTTGATACATATGGTACAGCTGATGTCTCCTAAAACTGGACTAGAAATCATTTTTTCCCATTTGGAATTACAGTTTTCGTGTAACCAATGATTACGTTTACATTGTTTCCTTTCATTTTTTGTGTCAGTCGGATGTGACTCATTACTTTCTCTCTCTTTTTGTTGGAAAGTTGTGTTGCTATCATTTTAGTGTTTTTGAGATCAGTTTAATTTTAGAGTTTGACGATGAGAAAATAAGTCTTATGAGTGATGATGGTCTCTGTAATTGTTTTTGTCTTTAAAGTATCCATCTGACATGCAAAAACCAAACTCTCTTTAACTGCAAATCTTACAGGGTCTTGTTGTCATATTTTACTTGTTTTCCATGCGATTTCTACACCAAAATGATAGATCTACAACCCAAAACTCAATTGCAACTTCGATTCTTACAGAAATTGGTTTTCCACAGTTAATCTGAGAACTCAGTCAAAGAACGGTTTCTGTCCAACTCGGGACGGTGACCCTCCTTGCAGCGATTTTCGACCCGATTACTCGCCTGGAAGGCCGAGTTTTTGAACACAACACAGGTTATTATCCATCTGTCTGCGTAAGCTCGCTATCATCCGTTTGTGTTATGTTGTTGATCATATTTCTTCTACAATAGTTGCTCTCTTCTTTGGAAATATATTTTAGTAGATTTGAATTGTTGTTTCTGGGTTTTTAGATTTGTACGATTGGGGTTTTGGTGATTCCATTAAATCTTTCACTAGGTTTATGTTCAAATTTCTAGATATATTGCTTCAGATTCGCGGGAGCATCAACTTATTTTGAGGTTAATTCGAATAGACTATTAGCAACATCATTATATTGATTTTTGTGAATAATTTTGAAGGCCAAAGATGCAGAAACTGGGTGATTTCAAGCTTCCTCAGTTCTTCAGCTATCCTCCATACTTCACGTATCTATCTCTTCTTCAAAATTTTCATTTTTTGTCTCCTTCTCTATGTCTTGAAGATTATGGATTGAAGAAAAGTCTGTTTCTTTTTTTGTATTTTAGCTTGCAGCCTGTGAGGGACACTCGTGAGAAGCAAATACAACTGTGGAAAGAGCTTATTTTGGATTACTGCAAGACGCAAAAGATCTTCTTGATTAACGTTGAAGAAGATTTTCCTCTCTTCTCAAACTCTGCCATTGATAGTAATGATCTTTTAGTGCCTTTTTCACCTTATTACAGTTCCATTACTGGTTAAAAATCTTAGCAAGGAAAGCTGTTAGTAACTTTAGATTTGTTCATTTGTCTTTATGGCTTCACTGGTAATCTTGTGGCTTTTTCTATGTTTTCAAGTGCTTTAAAGGCTTTATATTCTCATTTGGTTCCGCAGGATCTCTAAGCCATGAAGCAAGGGAAACTTTCCTCTCAGCCATTGTTGGAGAAGGTTAGATTCAAACTGCTACTTTTCTTTTTCTAATTTTTCTTGGTTCTGTGATAGAATGAGGTTTCTTTAGTCTCATGGTTCCTTATGAATGTGTCATCTTCTTTCTACTGATAGGGCGTGCGGAGTGGTTAGATAAAGGGCATAGGAAATGTCTGATTCTGTGGCACCGGATTCAAGACTGGGCAGACATTATTCTTCAGTTTGTGAGTCACATGTGAATTATTAATCAAAGAAAATTTTAAAAACAGATTTTGGTTTCTGATTGATGTCATGCATCAACCTATCTATCAGGTGAGAGAGAATGGATTAGAGGACAGTGTAATGACTGTTGAAGAAATACGTTCAGGGACAGAGTCACATGGAACAGGTAGAACAAAACTTCCAACTCTATTGGTTTTGTTTGTTTTGCACAATGTGTAATCCGCTGCAAATGTTCTCGTTGATGTTTCAGAACTTCAAGGGATCGACAGGACGATTCTAATGAGGGCTTTGAAGCTGCTAGAGAACAAGGGAAAGCTTGCATTGTTTAAAGGAACATCAGCAGATGATGAAGGCGTCAAGTTCTCTGTCTAATACTTACTTCTGTAAAACGTTTTGGGAGAAAAAAATGGATAAAACAACTCTTCTATTCAAAAAATATATCCGTTCTCTAATCACACTTTTGAGTTCTTTGGAATGAGAATAATCTTTTTATATATCAACTTGATCCACTAGACACAATGTTTGTGGAAATTTGCAATTGGACTTGTCCAAAAAACATATATGTTAATCAAGTCTACAGGTACTTGAGCATGCTGCGACCGTCTACACTAATCTTTGTTGCATGCATATTCGTCTTCCTCCGGGCCTTTTGCCTCTTCAGCTTGTCGAGTATCTGTCACCAAAAGGTATCACAAATGGTATTAGATTTCAGTTGTAAAAAATTAGTCATGGATACTAATTAACTAAAAGAACCATCTCTCTGTTAATACTGGAGGACACTTACATTTTCATGGATGGAGCTATTGTCCATTTGCATCTTGACACGAGCTTCGAGTTTCTTGTCAACTTTTGGTTTAGGACGGATCACAAAGTCCATTGATGTTGCTGTCGGTACTCTCGCTCTCTCTGTTTTTCTACTAACTGGTAGCTTGGACTTTTCTTTCCTGCATTTGTTTTGCCAGAGATTTGTTCGGATTAGTAAAAACATTTTAGATGAGAGACTTTAAAAGTATATAAAACACAGAGAGAAACTTACTTAGACAAGGCAACATCTGTATCAAAGTCTGTAGCAATGGCTTCAAACGCTTTAGGAGGAGGAGCATTGTTCTCTCTTCTTAAAAGCACTTCATGTTGCTCTGCACGTTCCTCTTGACTACACATGTTCTCATATCTTGTGGTCTTATTATAAATGGCATGGCCCTGTCAAAACAATAGACATAAGAAGAGCAAGAACATCAGCAAAAGTTGCTTTTTACAAAAGAAAAGGATTTAAAGTTTATATATATATAGATACATACCCATTTGTTGATTAAGTCATTAGCGAGTCGCCTATTAGGTGTAGTTTCTTCAGCTGATTTTGATAAGAACGTTATGACCATCCCGATACGGCTCTTGACAAACTGTTTTCTTCCAGAGTCTTCATCTAATCTCAGACATAACTGCAAAACAGAAGAACAAAAACAAAACAAAAAGTGAGAATTTTCTTTGATGATCATCTTGAAGAGCTTATTTATGGATTGAGAAAGTAAAAAAAAGTTCATACATCGTTGAGAAGGGTCAAGACAGCTGTGCGGATGTTTATGTTCGGCAAGCTACCATCTGGAAGCGGCTCGAGCCAACTCTTGAGAAGGTTAAGTAGTCCATGATCTAAGAACTCAGCTTGAAGTTGTTTCCTGTTTAGTCAAAAATGGTTTAGAGATCACACAAAGAGACAGAGAGATTATCATTCACTAAAAGAGCTTGAGAGTTTTTGATTACTTACTTTGAGAGAGATCCGGTGAGAAGTGGTAGCTTCATGAGCTTGTTAATGGCGGGCTTGCCTTGTTTGTTAAGCTCTACATCGTCTTCTACAGCGATTTCAAGCTCAGCCATAACTTGCTCTACTTGCATGGCAATCTCAGCCTTGCTTTTCTCTTCCTTCTTCTTCTTTCTTCCTAACTTGAACAATCTGTCAATCTCATCATCGACGCTGGCTTTATCTTTCTTGGAAGGATTTTCTACAGCATCATCACCACCATCCTGTTAACAGTAAAGACAAGAGACGAAATCAAACATATGAATATGATCTCAAGAAAACAGAACAAAGAAACAGAAAACAAGAATACAAACCTTGTCGTTCGTGATTGAATCCCACATCTCTTCAATCTCTGTGGAATTTTCGGAATCTTGCTTCTTCTTCTTCTTCTTCTTGTTCGTCTGAGCAGACTCATCTTTTTTCTCCCTCTGTCTCTTCTCCCCTACTTTGTCGTTATAATTAGCCGTAGGTACCACGAAATCATCATCATCAAGATTTTCTTCGTCTTCATATACTAATTCAGGAACAGACTTTTCGTTTAATCTTCTCCTTGGGCGTTCCTCGAGAACTTCCTCAAGATCGTTCTCCGATCCGTTGCTTGGAGAGTTTAACGCTTGCATCCTGCACACAAGTCGCGAAAGAAGACGGAAAAACGTTAAAACCCTAGAAAAAACTGTGAAGACCAAATTTGATGATGTATCGTGTTGATCAAACTAAAAAAAAGTCTTGGTTTTTATATGAGTCGAATGAAGTAATGATGATCAAAAACCCTAATTTACAGCAATGTAGCCGCAACGACAGAGACGAAATCTACAGATACGGAGATTAGAGTTCGAGAATCAAAGAAACGAGACTTGGAAAACTGTAATTCTTCTGTATAAACCCTAGCTAGGTCGATCAATCGAAACTAAATTAAAGGACGAAGAAAGAAGCATCACCTATTCTCTTCGTGACTCATCTTTTTTTTTCTCTATCGTCTTCTCTTGATGATCTCTGTGTTTGTTAAGTTCGTGGAATGTTTGATTGAACAATTTCGCAATAGTGTGTGGGCACATGTATATATACTACTTAGCTTCGTGTAGTCCAAGGTATTGAGTTGTGATCTTGCCACGTCAACAAACGCGGAGAGATTACGGAAAAAAAAGGAAATTAAGGTAAAAAGGATATTTGATATTTCCAATATCTTTGTAATCCAATACAGGTTGTTAACAAACAAAAAGATACTTTAAGGGCCTGATTGGTTCTCCCGCTACCACCCGCAAACGCTGCGTTTGCGGTTTGTAGCGGTTCTCGGCGATTTAAACAATCACGATAACCGCTTTGAATCGCTCTATACAATTTTATACCGCTCTATATCGCTGGAAATCAAAAGTTCCTTTCCGCAAGCGTTTGCGGTTGCGGGCGGTTGCGGATTGAAAAAAAAAAAGAGAAAATAAAATCACAATATCTCGATTAGGGTATCCTATATATTTCTACGGCTGCGTAATATAGTTGTATCAGAAAACCTAATCCCTAGAACTCTATTACAATCATGGCTCCACGAACTCAAGAAACTCAAGAATCAAACGTAAGTATCGTGCTATTTTGTTTGTTATTCACTGGTTATTATCAAACTTTTTCTCTTTTATTACTTTCTTTGTTTGTGTGTATATGTATCGTTCATATGTGAATCGTTCCTGTGTGTTTTACAATTGAATGTATGTTTCTACTGATTCTCGAATAGAAACTCCAATGGTCGGACGAGATGACCCGTGTGTTACTGGAATTGATAACTTTGGAAAAGCAAGATGGGAATTGTAGAGGAAAAAGTTTGAGTGAGGAGGGAAAAAAAAATGTTCTCAAAGAATTAGCAAAGCAGTATCCATTGAACTTAACTTGGAACAAAATTAAGAATAGGTTAGACACTTTGAAGAAGCAGTACGAACTCTATCGTAAAATCACGTTTGGATCAACTGGTCTTGGGCATAATTCAAGGACAAGAACTCTTGATGCACCTGAGCATTGGTGGAGAGACAAAATCCTGGTATATAAACGTACATTTATGTTAAATCATATTGTTCTATACCTGTTTTTATACCTGTTTTGAATGAATTTCTTTTGTTCTTTTTTTTTGTTTCTAGGCTTATCCCGAAGCAGCGAAACTCCGTTCGAATCCACTACGGAATCTTCCGCTTCTTGATGTGGTTTTCCGAGATGAAACTGTCGTGGTTGAGGAGTCATGGCAACCAAGACGTGGTGTACACCGTCGTCTTCCACCAGTTGACTCTGAAAATGAGTATACGAACAATGAAGATGGAACTGAAAGACATGATACAAGGCAGGATTATTCACGTGATCCTTCAGAAATACAAGAGCAAGACTGGTTCCAAAACGAACCATTGGAAGAGGTTCCAGATCTGCCTGAGGTGGAACCATCGTTGCAACCAGAACATGATTCTTTCACACAACCTCGAGTGAAAAGTGCAACTCGTAACCGTAAGCGTAAGCATACTCCAGAGAACTCGACGCTCGCCCGTATTGCTGCGACTATGGAAGAGAGGAATGGTATTTTGGAACAGCTGACATCATCTAAAACCGAGGCAAAGAACTCTACGGAAGAACGCATGGCTCTTGTTGTCAAGTATGTGAGGGCGGTACCTGATCTAGTACCTATGACACCCCTTTATTGGGCATCTCTTGATCTTATTGCAATAAACGATGTGGTGCGGGGATTGTTTCTCGCTCTTCCGGATGATGAAAAGTTACCTTTTCTGAAGCGTCAAACCAAGGAGTCTCGCAATGACTTCTTTGATGATTAGCTTATGTTGTTTTCTTTTTCATGGGAATTATGATTTCTTGTTTGCTTTTTATTAATGACTATCGTCTTTTTGTTTGGTTTAACGTTAACTATCGTTGGGTTTTACAAATTGTTAGTTCTTTATTGATTTATTGCACTATGAGAGTGTGTTTTTATAATTCAAACTTAGGTGACACGAAATCTAATTTATTTCAGGAAACAAGTGATGTGGAGTTGAACATAATCAAAGAAGTTATAGATGCAGATGACCAAGCTCTTACAGCGGTAATTGTGATTGACCGACTTCGTTTTTCCCAAAGAGACGTGTTGAGAACGGATCCTGAACGTGGACAGCGAATAATGCACCAACTGATGTATGAAAGCGACACGCAATGCCTCGATGTTTTACGTATGAGACAAAGGGTTTTTCTCAAGCTCTTAGATACTCTAAAGAAATATGGTCTAAAAGATTCTCATCGGGTAAGACCTGAGGTTGCTCTAGGAATGTCACTCAAGATTTTGGGGCATAATCCATCACAAAGGAACATTGCAGCAGAATTTCAGGTTGCACAATGGACTGTGAGCTCAAAATTTAATGATGTTGTTAATGCTCTGTGTGGTTTGCATTCAGATATTGTTTCATGGAAAAGAGGAGGATTTGATGATACACCAGAGAGAATCATGCGTGATAAGAGGTATTATCCATATTTTCAAGATTGTATTGGAGCCATAGATGGTACACACGTCCGCGTGCGTGTTGGTGGCAATAAGAAGATCACGTATTGGAATCATCATAATTACACGTCAATGAACATTTTGGCAGTGTGTGATTTCAATATGAAGTTTATATACACACGTATTGGAGTTCCGGGGCGCGCACACGACTCAAAGATATTGACACATTGTGCACGTCATGATGAATATTTTCCATTCCCGAGGTCGGAGAAATATTTTTTAGTGGATTCTGGTTATCCAAACCGAAGGGGTTTTCTAGCTCCCTATAGAGGTGAGGCCTATCATCCGAATCATTTTGCTGGACGTAAACCGACCACTCTGCGAGAGACATTTAACAAGAGACATTCCTCTCTTCGATCCGTCATTGAAAGAACGTTTGGCGTGTGGAAGGGAAAATGGTCTGTTTTAGAAGGTCGCATTCGTTATGACGTGGAAATGCAAGAAAAGATTGTTGCAGCAACTATGGCGTTGCATAATTTTATCCGAGATTCTAATATAGAGGACATTGACTTCAATGCTGCTGAAGAAACAGAGAGTTATGATGCTGATCCTATCGGAAACACGTCTCCTTCTCATGATGATCATGGAGTCGATCGAATTTATGATCCGACAGCTGATGAATATATGTCAACAGTTAGAGAGGGTATAGCACGAGAGATATGGGATGATCGTTAGATAAGAAGTGATCTAAAATTGGTGAGTGATATGAAGCAGCAGCATCCTAGAAGCTTTCATCAACGACTACGCTTATTTTCCCTTTTATCTATTTTGATTAGAATTACTTTTTCTATTTTGATCTCAGAGATTTCTCTTGTCCTTGTCACTTTCTTCAGTTTATTTTTATAGTTTTGAAACTTGAATAAAGAATTTTATTATCAAGAATATGTTTTTCTCGTGCCTGTTAAAGATCTCTCTGTTTTTATCTCTCCCCTGTTTTCCTCCAATGATGATTATGGAAACGGCGGGAAAGACAATAGTCCGCCAAAATAAATTAACCCGCGAAACTACGAGGTACAACTAAATCTTTATTTGCCAAATAAATAAGATATGCATCTATCTCGAATCTTTTATGTTAACCTAATAATAACCTATTATAAAAGTCAATCAATCCATCTAACATATTGGTAACAACAGCCATTTTCTTCTCTTCACCTGTGATAATCATGGCTGCAGAAAGTAATCGCCGTGCTTCCAAGGTAATTTATTATATATATAATAGTTTAGGTTTTTGGATTAATATCTGAAAGGTTCGAATACGTTTGCTTTTTCTTTTTCAGCAGTTCATGTGGTCAAACGAGAGCACGTATGTGTTACTTGACCGAATAATCGAGGAGATGCAAAGAGAGAAGCAAGGGGAGAATAACGGAAGAAGACTCTTGAGTTCTCTTCGAAAGGAAAATATTCTTAAGAATATTAATAACCACTTGGGAGCTGATTTGGTTTGGACTCAAGTAAAACACCGTTTGGATTGTTTGAAGAAATTTTACAATATGTATTGGAAAAATCCGTTAGATCCACACCTTCCACCACATTTTTCACAGTTCATGACAAGGCTTGGCGCAATTTTTGGTGATTATGCATGAAGTAATAAACAAGTCATTATGATTTTTTTATTTTTTTAAAAAAATAATTATGCAAGTGTTTGATTTATATATTTTTATTATTAATCATATTTATTTTTTATATTTTATATTAATAATATGGTTATGAATGTTTTGAATAATTATATATTATGTTTATTTTACTAATTTTTGGGTAAACCGCTATTGCACCCGCTGACCAACCAGTCAAAAATATCCCGCAAACGCAACCGCTATAAATTGTTATACCAGTCGCACAAACAGCTTCTAACCGCAAACTCCCGTAACCGCAAACTCCCGCAACCGCAAACTCCCGCAACCGCAACCACAGCGTTTAAACCAGTCAGACCCTAAATGTAAGTATGTTAGGCTCTGGAAAATATATTTGATGTTTTTGAAAAACAAATGTTTAAGTCAGAGACCGACTGTAAGTTATTAAACAATAATATTTTTCCATGTCACTTTTTCTTTGGCAAATAGGAAATATTATGAACCAAAAATAATAAGAATAGTCTTCAATAATAATTAAATATGAATTTAGTGGTTTGACATTTACTGAACCTACCAACTGTATAAAGTATATGTCAAATACATTTATTTATTATGTAATTAATTTGTCATGACTCAAAAGTTTATTTATCTAGTAAAATCTCAAAAGAACATAAAAAAACAATGGCAATTCGGTAGATAACTAAGATAAGGAATGCTATTTACAATTCCAACGAAGGACAGAAGCAAAACTTAATTAGACCATTTTACATGGTCTTCTTTTCCCACTTTGACGCATCTTAAGAAAAAAATTAACAAAACAGCAACAACAAAATCTTAGACCAGACAAAGAAAGAGAAAAATAAACCAACCAATTTTCTCTTTCTGCGGATTTGAAAAAGAATGAGAGATTCAATACACTTTTTATGGATTGATGATAACCGATTCAAGGTGATAATGGTTGTGATGATGACGATCGTATCATGGAAATGTGTTTTGGCATTGGAGAACATAAATCCGATATTCTTCGACGAAGGTCTTTCTCATTTGTTTGGTGAAGGTAATCTCATCCGATCTCCCGATGATCGTAGCGTTCGATTACTCCTCGACAAATACACCGGTAATTTTCTTGTCTCGAAACGATGGTTTTTGGTTTATATATTAACAAAAATACCATAATCTCACGTAAACTCGAGTTTTAGGTTTGTGATGCTGATGAATTGATGATGATGATATGTAGTTTGTTTTTTTTCAATTTTGTGAACTTCATAAACATGAAAATGATTAGGAATGGTGGTTAGCTCGTACTGGGAATAGTATCACGTGATTATTTTGTACCGTTTTTTTTTTTATCAAACATGGAACAAAATATTTATTTGTATTCAAATCTTATTTCATTATGACTATGAGTTTAATGATAAAATAGATAAAATTTTGTCACCCCACCGATTTTCGATTTTGTTAAAGTTTTCTTTTTCAGTTTCATATTTTGTTTCATTTTCTCCATTTCTACTTTCTTGTAGTGTCAAGAATCAAAGTCGTTGGTTTTTATTTATAAATATTTTCATACGAATACGAAATATTATTTTTTAAATTTGATTAGGGTCAGGATTCATCTCTTCAAGCATGTATCAACATGGGTTTTTCAGTTCGTTGATAAAGTTGCCGGGAGCTTACACGGCTGGTATTGTCGTCGCCTTCTATGTAAGTCACTAATTTTCTCATTTTACTTTTCAAACAAATAATATTAGAGTCACTGAATGTAAAATTATATGAATTTAGACATCAAACGGCGATGTGTTTGTGAAGAATCACGACGAACTAGACATAGAGTTTTTAGGGAACGTTGAAGGAAAGCCATGGCGGTTTCAGACAAATATGTATGGAAACGGTAGCACAAACCGCGGCCGCGAAGAACGCTACCGTCTTTGGTTTGATCCTTCCAAGGAGTTTCACCGTTATAGCATCCTTTGGACTCCTACCAAAATTATGTTAGTTTCCTCTTTCTCACTATTTTTATTTTTTTTTTTCAACAAGTTCAATTTTACTAATGTAATATTATGATCATGTTTAAGATACAATGGTAATGTTTCGAGCTGATTTAAAAAAAAAAAAAAAAAAAAAAAAAAAAAAAAAAAAAAAAAAAAAAAACACTCAGTTAGGTGATCTAGAAAAAGAGTTTTGTACTTTAAGTTAAACTCGTGTGTGTGGAGTAGTTGAATTGATTTGATAGTGTGCATGGAATAATATGTTGAATATAAAGTAAGTGGTTGTTGTGTAGTATACATTTTAGTAAACGCAAAATGGACACGGCAAACATAAATTTCACGATTAGTCTAATTTACACGCATGAGATATAATGGTCCATTTTGGATTTAATTTCTGGATTTCAAGATCTGAAAACCCTCATGGATAAAAGTTGGTCTAGCCAAGAAATATATGGACAATAACATTCAATATCAAAATGTGATTGTTATAATTAAAGAGTCTCCTAATAGAAATGCAAAAATGTTTGTGATTTGCATGCAGATTTTGGGTAGACGATGTACCAATAAGAGAAATCATAAGAAAAGAAGAAATGGAAGGAGACTATCCACAAAAGCCAATGTCTCTCTACGCAACCATTTGGGACGCCTCAAGTTGGGCTACCAACGGCGGAAAGTTTGCCGTCGATTACACATTTTCGCCTTTCGTCTCCGAATTCAAAGACATTGCTCTCGATGGTTGTAATGTCACCGACTCATTCCCCTCCGCCACCGGAAAAAACAACAACAACTACATCAACGTCGGTTATAATCACACCAATTGTTCTGTCTCCGACGAGTTTCTCATGACCAACGATTACTCAACCATTAACCCTAAACAAGCAGCCGCAATGAGACGGTTCCGGGAACGTTATATGTATTATTCTTATTGTTATGACACTGTACGGTACGCCGTGCCTCCGCCGGAATGTGTGATTGTGACAGCTGAGAAGGACCGGTTTAAGGATACCGGACGGTTAAAGTTTGGTGGTAGTCATTCTAAAGTGCATAGACCACGAAAACGACGGAGGCGGAATCGGTCCACGCCGGTGGTATCGGCTGATGATCTATAGCGTTAACTAGTTGACTTATTCCTTGCTTATGTATTTATAGTGTTTTAGTTACTATATAGTTTGTTGGTTGACAAAAAAAAAGTTATTATATAGGTTATGAATGATATACCATTTTATTTACTACTTTAGTTTTTAGTTTTACGTTTTGATTATACGTGAGTCCACTAATCAATTTTTCCTGACTTGAATCAATTATTACCTACACTTGTTAAAGATATGACGATAGAAACATAAAAATTATTAGTCTACGAAAACTTTTTTTTTCAGAATTTCATGGCGATTCATCATAAATTATGTAGTCAAAATGTTTCCACTAGTTGTTTTAGGATAAATTTGTTTTTTCTTCAATCTATTAAAAAAGAAGGTGTATATGTTTTTTATTTCTAGCTTAAACTTTATAATATTGAAATGTTTGTATATTATCAAATGACAATTTGAAGTTTTGAACATAATTATGAAATCAGCAAATCTAGCTTTTGGAAGAGGAAACAAAAACAGCTTGCTCCTAAAAAGGTTTATAACTTGTAACTAAGTAGGTTTGTCTTTTTGTCAGATACGGTTAACGTATTTATTTTTCATGTCAACAAAGAAACAGTTAAGTTTTTGGTTTTTGTCCCTAACAAGTTTGTAATGTCAAACACAAAATCAGAATTGACTGAAAAAATTGGATAATTTATATTTCAAAGCAAAAACCAAAATCAACGTAGTGTAAATGTAAACAGAAAACAACTCAGCAATACGACTAATTCGGTAAAGCTGACATGGCCATGAACCATCTTGTTTGCAAATGTCTCCATAAAACTAACCCTTTTATAACGTTTGACAAAACCAAAACAAATTAGAAAAAACTAATTTAACGATTGGCGTAAGAATGTCGGCTTGTGAATAAAAATATTTATATGTCAAGACCAAAATAATTTGAATATTCAACCTTCACTGTTCGACAGTTCTCGACTTTGATATACACAATATACATAACAAGTGACTAACTGATCTGAAAATTTATTATTTGTTAGCAAATGCATAAATCTCAAACTACAAGTGTTTGAGATGACATGTAAGTTTCCATGTGGATTAGACCAATGTGTATATATTTGGACCACACAACCAACGCAAAGTCAAACGAACTTTTAAGGTATCAGTTTGTTTTATTTAAAATATTTGATTAATTTATATATTCGCTTAACAGTACTTTCGAAGGTATCTATCCCTAGTTTAAGTTCACAATAGCAAACAAAGCTTATACGGCTCATGTTAGCAAGCAAATTGCAGAATCCTACGAATGTGGACCAACTACAAAATCTACAAGCCAAGAAACCAATTACTTCACAAGCAAACCCATATATAACTCAATTTAACATAAGATTTGATTCTTTTTGGTTTTTCCTCTTCTCAAGAAACCAACAAATAATTTAATTTATACAAAATTAATTATTTTGTTAACCGGAATTTGAACAATAAAATATTAAACTTTTCTTTCACCAAATGAAAGAAAAAAAATGTGATACATTGGTTCATTTCAAAGCTATATTATACACACAAAGGAAGAAAGACCACACAAACAGAATCAAACTAGAAGCAGACTAAACCGGAACGGTTCTCATGTTTATGTTGGGATCAATTAAACTTCCAAAAAACCGGTCATCCTAAGAACGGAGTTACGGTGACGACTCAACTCTCTTCCTTTAAGAGTACAAAAAGAAAACGCCATTTGCGTCTCCGTTCTTCGTTTTCCGATTATGACATGTGGCGGAGTCATACTCTCCTCCTCTTCCTCCTCCGTACACCGAAAAATACTTCTCGACGGAATTCTCACCGGAGCTGACTTTTTCTCCGTCGTCGTCGACTGTGTTTTGTTGTTCTCGTGGTTGCTACTCTTGTTGTTGCTTTTGACGTTCCCCGAGAAATATTCATCCGAAAATGTAACCTCGGATTCTTGAAATTCTTCTGACATTGAAAGATGGAGATAATTTATGCCAAGAAAGTTTTGGATATTAATGATTAGATGGAAGAGCGAGGTAGGAAAAGAAGACAGAACTAAAGAGAAAAGTTGGAACTTATATAGAGACACCGCAAACAGAAACTCATGTTTTACACGTATATATATGTATATATGTGTGTATACATGTAAGTATTAATATCTTGTACATGTTGCATCAGATGACGTCATTGTAAAGGTGTTTGAGTGAAGTCAAGGTGTTTCGATCTCATCATTAATTAATCATTAAGGATGTGATTACTGTGAATTACACGTCTTTATTTACATGACTAAACACATCATTTTGCCACAAAACAATGGGATAAATCCGTGTGTGTACGTAATTAGTAACATCGTAATCATTAAATTCAAAGTTTATCATAAATGTATCTAGATGTATTAGTATGTATTTTTGTAGAGATTAAGATAACGTGGATGTATGTCTACTAATCAATTCATCTATTGATGATTGTTTAATAAGGATTATATCGGCGTTAAGAAATTAATATTGATAAAAAATGGTAGTACTAGACTACTAGTGTTTGATTATCAATCTCCAACACTAACACTAATTACAATTTACAAAGAACCGGTGCAATGCTATTGAACGCAAGCGCGCTTTTGGTGATGCTATGCTACGCGTGTGAACACTAGCTCAACGCTATGAAACAGTAGAATCTCCAAACATGGTCATTCACTCGTGCGCTAAACACGTGTCGAACACTAGCTTGACGTCAGCCAAAGTTAACGTCAACAAGCTTCCGTCTCGCGTGCGCCGCTGCCACGTGTATACTTTTGTCCAGAACTGCAGTCGCGGTTACGTGGCGGCGTTAATTAACGGCCCGATAATTTGTTGCTTTCCGAGAAGAAAAAGGGAAAATATCTATCAATGTGGCATCAAAAGTCTTCTTTTTTTATTCTCAGATTTTTATTTATTTATTACATATTGACGTTGATTCTTAAGTAAACGAAGGAATAATTAAATTCTTTCAAATACTTGTAACACTAACATAGAAAAATCAACAAGTTATAATAAGTAAGAACTTGCTCTTACCATTTCCAAAGTCAAAAATGAAATTCTTGTTGAAAGAATTAAAAGTGAAAAGTGAAATACTGAAGAAATTTCTTGAAATAAAAAATAACTGTCAATAGTTTTATTTTTTTCCTTGGATAATTGGGTTGAGTGAGTATAAAATAAAAGTTTTGTTGTGCAATGCCATTTTAATTATATTTTCTGGACAAACCAACTTTATCCGTGAAGTTCTCGCAAAAGCAAGTTTTTATTAATTGAGGGACAATTATTAACGAGCAAGACATGCCTTGAGGAGTACATATAACAAAAAAAAGGTTTATTGAAAATGATTGATACATCAACCTATCACATAGTTAGAACCCTCTATTGATGTTACTTTTCACAAATGAATGATAAAATTCGAAGTAATTTAATAAGGGCATGCATGGAGTTTTTTTTTTCTTTTATTTTTGATGTGAGTTTAATTTTAATTTATAAATTTTGTAAAATTAATATAAAATAACGTTAGGTGTGAAACAAAACAAACGAAACAAATGCGTTTAGTTTTTGATAAGATGTTAACTATCAAACTTTTAAGTAGTAGTTTTCGAAAATTACAATGGTTAAAACTAGGATGAAATATGTTTGGCATGTATGCCTTGTGCAAAATGACACAAATTATTGTTTAACGCTTCGTTTGTGATACGGATACGGAACTCTATACGAACAGTGATGTGTTACGTTTTCAAGTGTTCACCACAAAACAAACACGGTACATGCATCATTGCTCACACCCTTAATTAAGAACTAGATAATTGTTGGAACAATTAGGTGAATTCGAAATTCGTGCATATCCTACTAGCTAGACATATTAAATTGAAGAGAGACAATGAAAATGGACAAAAAGGTAGACAAATAGAGTCGAATGAATTAGACATTGGACGAATTGGGCTATCGATAGATGCATAGTTTTGTGCTAAAGACAAGTGTGGTTCCTACTCCTAGTGGTCCCTTCGATCATTTCCAACGAAAAAACAAATTTTGCATGGATGCTGGATACTCTCGTATTAAGTGTGTCTTGTTCGGTGTCTCTTATATTCGTGCTCAATTATTAGTCATAATTTCTCAACCTTATATCTACATACAGTTTCAGATCATTATATTTATCATTTTTTTTTGTATCCTGCATTGTCGCATTGTGGTCTTTATTCATACTACTTACCTATGTATTTGAATAATATTTGGAACAGATAGAAATAACATTCTTTTATATGTATATAGAAGATGAAACTATTTAAATAGTAAGGATGTGACTTTAATTCTTTTTTTTATATACTCATTATGTCTCATATTATAAATAATTTAGAAAAATGTATCAGTAATTATCTGGACTCAAAACACATACATATTTTATTATATAAAGCTGGATGCGCACGACGTGGTTGCGACACGTAGGATTTTTATAAAATTCAGGATCGCGACATGTGTCACTTTTAAGTTTATGTCGTTAAGATCGTGACATGTGTCTTAGGAAAAAAGAGAACTTAAAAAAAAAATTCCAGAAAAATGTTAATTAAAAAAAACGAAATTTAATTTAATATATTATATCAAAAAGGAAAAAATAATATTTGCCAATATCCAAACAGAAAAAGGTTTCCATTCATCAATTTTTTATTATATAAAGTTGGATGCGCACGACGTGGTTGCGACACATAGGATTTTTATAATTTATAAGATCGCGACATGTGTCACTTTTAATGTTACGTCCGTTAAGATCGTGACACATGTCTTAGAGAAAAAAAAAATAATATAATAAAAAATTTAGATAAAGGAATTAAAAAAAAATCCATTACAGTTAAAAGAAATAAAAATATATTTGTCATATCCTAATAGAGAAAGGTTTCATTCATCAAATTAATATTATCCAAACAAATAATAAAATCAAAATAATGTAATAAATAAAATCCTATTTGTACATGGAATATGTTATGTAAACTAAATTTCCTATAACTGCATGTAATAGGTTACTTGAACCCCTATAAAAGAGAGTCAAGTTTCTCAATCATAAATTCATCAAAGCAAATTCATCAAATCCCTTTGATTCTATTTCTCCAATTTAAAAATCATGTTTTTGA